TATATATATAAAGGCATTTCAAACCCTTCCCACACTCTTGGTATATTCTAAACATTGTTTGTAAACTCTAAAGGCTCTAAATGAGCACAGCATGTCATGATCTCCACTCTCTCTGACACCGGCTGCTCTCTGCCACCTTGCAGCACTCTCAACCACACCCACTTCTCCACTGCAGTGGGGACATCATGACATGCTGTAGGAGGGAGATTCTCCCTGCACATGTGGGCTGTACACATGTGCAGCAGGTGCTAAATCATTTTAAATAATTTATTTTAAATTTAAAAAATCCATGCCAATCTTGCGGCGCATCCATCAATTGTGTGTCATGTCCAATTTTCCTTTGAAAAAACTGTGAAAGAGCGAGTCCACGAAAGTCGAACCGTGAAGTAGCGAGGCACTACTGTATATGTATATATGTATATGTGTGTATATGTGTGTATATGTATGTATATGTATATGTGTGTATATGTATGTATATGTGTGAATATGTATGTATGTATGTATGTATGTATGTATGTGTGTATGTATGTGTGTGTATGTATGTGTGTATATGTATGTGTATATATATATATATATATATATATATATATATATATATATATATATGTATATATATATATATGTATGTGTATGTGTATATATATATTTTTTTTCTACTTCTAATAAATGTAGAAAACACAATTCTGTCAAAAGTTAACAACACAATGATATTTTGTACATATGAACAACAATACTGTCAGATTTCACCAGAAAAAAATAAAATAAAACAATGATCAGTAAAAAAAAACTTGGACAACTAATATAATAATTTCTACTTGTATACCACAATTTGAATCGACTTTCTACAACTTGTTTTCGTTAAAGTAAAAGTTGAGCTTGTACCTTTAGAAAGGGGGCATTAGCCCAATACTCCACACCTTTGATGCCTTCTGACAAAGTCCTATCAGTTTCTAGGTAGTAGAGGTTAAAAGTCTCTTTGCAGGAGCCCAGGACACTTGGGATAGAAGCACAATCCCGTACGGTGAAGCGAATCTCTACATAGATGCGCTGCGCTGCCCGTCGGTCGATGTAAGTGGTAAGCAGCCAGTTGTTCTGGCTCGGCTCGAACACGTTGCACACCTGGTACGTCCTGATGGTGTTAAGGTTCTCGTCGTAGCCACTCACCTCCTCCCACTGAGTGAATGCGGGTAAAGGGTTTGAGAGGGGAGGAAGCAGAAGAAGAGGAAAAGGGAGACACTAAGATGATTAATGGGCTTACTAAAACCAGACACAAATTAAACTTTCTCTATCACTCCTTCCCAATTTTTCTCCCTCCATTATCCTGCCTGCCTCATTTTCTTTTTCCCCCTTCTTTACCTTGTTCTAGTGCTGCACAGGGACAACCATTCATCACAATTAGAGGCATTCACCTCCTGCACACACACAGCAGACTACTGTGACCAGTTAGTTGTCGGATTAGAATTTAAAGAAGCAGATTTTAAGAAAGATGATGAAGAAAACATGTTCTATTCTACTCTATTTTCCTCTCTCGCTGCTCTGCTCTAATCTTTTGGAACATATTCTTTTCTGCATCAGTCGTGGTTAATTGATGTCACCTTGCCACTGTAATTAAAATTTTGACTGACTCGTTAATGGACCACTCTAAAGTGTAGTCAAACTCCTTTCCCCATGGGTGGCTGCACATGCACAGACAAATGCACACATACAGAACAGCTTTGCACATTGTTCTTACTCCATTGGCAGGAAATGATATCCAGCCAAGCTCAGCTGTCGCTGTCCTTGTATCCATCACTGTCTCTGTCGCACAAAAAAGAGAGAGAGAGACGGGGAGAAAAAGGTGAAAAGAATAAGCTGCAGAAAGAGGACAGGTATGAGTTTAATTAACAGTCCTTTCATTTGCCAACTTTAGATCTGCTTTGTGCCGTTGGCCATTCACATGCATAAAAGCCAAGGTCACACAGTTTCTATAAAGTATTTTCTTTACTCTGTCCACGCTTTGATAATGTAAGGATCTACAAATGAGACAGACCTCTTGATAATACAAGATATACAAAGGCAATAATGACATAACACAATCAATACAAAAGTAATCCAGAGCTTTGCACTACAAAAAGCTGTTCTGGTTTAAGTAAATATCTTGCCTAACATCCTGTTGCAGCAAAATAGCACCCATTACCTGTAACTACTATATCTAATATCTCTATAGAAAGAATAATAATAATTAAAAAAAATCCCTCTGAATTAGTATATCCTCAAACATTTTGAATTGCGGTGATGTCCAAAGATCTTTAAAGATTTACAAATTAGCTGCTAAAGAAAAGGCTAGAAACGGAATATTTTAACCACCAGCAAAACTAAAATGACACAATGATAATACAGTATATCATGGAATTAGGTCATATTGGAAGAAATTCATAATCTTGATATCCATCCATCCATCCATCAATTTTTTTCTGCTTATACAGGGTCGCAGGGGTAGCAGCCTAAGTAGGGAGGCCCAGACTTCCCTCTCCCCAGCCACTTGGGCCATTTCCTCCGGGGGAATCCCAAGGTGTTCCCAGGCCAGCCGAGAAACAGTCTCTCCAGCGTGTCCTGGGTCTTCCTCTGGGTCTCCTCCTGGTGGGACGTGCCCAGAACACCTCACCAGGGAGGCGTCCAGGAGGCATCCTAACCATAGATGAGGGTAGGAACGTAGCTCTACTGATAATCTTGATATATTGGTGCATTTATCTAACTTTGCTATACATCTACACATTAATTGGTGAATTAGCAGAGAAAACTGTAAAAGCTGTGTATGTAATCCAGGGATGTAACTTTGAATTCAAAATATGAAAACAAACAAACAGGGACTGGGGGTATCATTTCATAGCAGACAGGGCCTTAAATAAATTAGGCTGCTGCTGCATTTTCTGGTTTATGAGAAAATATGAAAATGTGCAAACCACAATATGGTTTCTTAGAAACATAAATGGTAAATGATTAATGGACTGTACTAATATGGTGCCTTTCTAGCTTTTCAAGATACTCAAAGCCCTTTACACTACAATCTGTGCCCTCACTTACCCACTCACAGCACTCTACTATATCTGCGTTATCACATACATACACTGATGGGACACAGTAACAACAAACTTGACAACAATGAAATTGAAAATTGCAACAAAACCACAGGTAAAGCACATATTGTAAATGCTTTTTAAGGACAAAAACAATAAACTAACATGGTGGTGAGTGTCACCATCATGTTAGAGGTGTCTGTTTTTGAACCTTGGTGAGTTCCTGTAAAAATGGCTGCTAGCAGCCTAATAAATGGAACCAACGACTTGTGAAAGAACTGCTATATGATTTGGATAAGAAAAGCATTGTAGATACTGTTTACTCTACTACTCTACTATACTAGTACTAAATAGTTATTGATACATGAGTTAAGACAATAAAATACAACATATAAAAATTTTATTGTATTTAATATTTATTTAACCAAGAAAATCCCATTAAGATCACAGATCTGGGCCTAAACCTCCCTTGGTTTATTAAAAGCTTTAATCACACAAATTATCAATATATGGTTAGACAACTTTTTTCTTCACTCTAGCACAGAACAGAAGGTTAACAATGCTACCCATTTATGTCACTTTCTACATACCATTTAAATATGGCCTACATAATATTAGGCATGTGATTTAATTTTTATGACTAAAGTGATTGACTTAATAGTCACATTAATTTCATATATTGCTGATTTAAACTGACAGCATAAATCAAATAATAATTAAGTGAGAGTAAAGTCGAATAAATATGACTATATGTGAAAGCGGATATGAAGACTGAGCTGATCAAAGTGCTGCTAATGATTTTATATCAGCTCCTGCTCCAACGCCATCAAACCAAATCAGATTTAGTTCAGCTCAATTATGTTTCATTTAAATGGAGCTAATTCATACATTTACATGAAGAAAATAAATAAAACTTTTCCCCAAGCTCGTTGTATCAATATTGATATGTATCAATTCACAATCATATCAGGCGCAAGTCATATATTCTATTCTATTCTATTTTGTTGTATTCTATTCTCTCCCAAATTCAACTCCTGTGAGATTCTCCACTGACAAATAGCTCGTGAACCCATTAATGCCCTTTTTCATAACTAATATTTTACGCAACAGTGGTTTTCTCACCTCTTGTGTGTTTCTTGTGACTGAATAAAACTAATGTGTGCAAAATTAACAGTGACATTACGCAGCAAGCGGGCGTGCTGAGGTGCTCGAGCCAACATAAGTTAGCTGGCAAGCTGATAACACAGACCGTAACACACAGTTCTTTGTAATGAAACATGGTGAGAAGATTCAACGACATCACACCATGAGGTGGCCGCAGGCAAACAACTCCCACTCCTCCTTTTATTCTTGACATGCACTCTTCTTGCACTCTTTCATACAGTCACCCTTCTTCTCATTATCTGTTCCCCTCCTCCTCACACCCTCTCTACTGCCATCCTCTCCTTCACTCTGACTCCAAATTTTTGTTCATCTTTTACTTTGGGTGCTTGCTTTTTTTTGTCAGCAAGCTCACCTAATTACAGCAGAATCCAGTTTTCAGTTCTCCCAGGAGAGAGGAGGTTGTGTTTGATAATGAAATGCTTGTCACGCAAAAATGGAGTCGACTTTCAAATTTTTGAACCAAAGCTTATTCACATAGTGACAAGTGCCACTGACTAATTTGTAGCTTTAGTGTGTTTAGTGGCATGTTGTCAACGAAGATTTTCAAAAAATGATGTGCATCAGAATACGGACCCTGTTTTTTTTTTTTTTTTTTTTTTATATATCATTTGAATTACAAAGTGTTTTCTGTCTGTTAAGGAAATCTTTGTAGCTTGGGTGATAAAAAAAAAAAAAAGTAATAGAAAATATTTAAGAATGAGTTTGAATGCTGGCTTTGCTTCAAGAACAAATTGTACACCAATGTCACACATTGTTGAGGGACTTAAATAGTGAATGTTTGTAGTTTTTTGAGATGAGTGTGTTTCTGGACTGACATTGAACAGGGAATGCAAGCATGCCTTGATGGTTTTGGTGCAAGATATTCAAGTGGGTAAGAGTTATTCTGTGTATAAGATAAGAATACAGAAGTCTTTTTTTTCTTCCCTTTTGCTTGTCTGAGGTGGCATAGTGTGCTAGATCTTGACAAATGGAGAAATCAATTCTATCCATAAAGAGGGACAATGGTGGAGCCAGGGCATGGCCATTGGTGGCCACCATAGAATAATCTTCAGCCACCCAAAGGGCAACCCCAATGGTCACTCCAATAATTTGAGGAAACTATAATTTTAAGCAATATAAAGACTAGAAAGCATAGTTTCCTCAAATGAATGGGATGGCCGATACACATACATACACGTGTGTGTGTGTGGTGGTGGTGGTGGTGGTGGTGGGGGGGGGGGGGTAGCAGAGCCTTCTTAGTTTACACATACCCAGGAGAAATTTGATAAGTTGGCCAACGTCAAGGCCGAATGGGGAGGCCAGATTCAGACAAGCCACAGTTGTTTTTTGTGCAGGCACTGTTTTTTCTTGTCAGCCTTGAGTTCTGCTGGTACTTTTGATAATCCAAAATGGCCAGATTTGTGGGCTTTCCGCTGGCCCGTGCTTATTGGCTTCCTCCAAAGTCATCCCCAACATGCTGGTGAGTTCCAGAAGTCGCAAGTGGCCTACCATTCTCATAAATCGCAACCATCTTATGGTTGAGCTTGTAAATGAGCTGAGTCTGAGAGCTTGAAGCACAAACTAATCCGCCACATAAGGTAGGCAGCTTTGCCATGGCTGAAAGTGCTGCCGCCGTCTTCTTTAATAGCCTATAACATATGTACCCGACGGTGCCCAAAAGCAGAAACCCTGCTATCATAAATCAAATGATATATAAATCTTTGGCATACTCCTGAGACAACACAGAAAGGCACAACATTTTCCACTCTCCCCAAGAATCCATGACGTACCCTGCCGCGTGTGTCTCAGTGGGGCATGATGGTTCTCCAGGACCCTGTCGCTTGGTTGAAAAATTGTATCAATTGCGTTGAAAGTCCAGCTGACCAAATCCATGACAGTAATTTATGATTCAGAAGATGTGTAAATAGAAGCTCCGATACAGTAAATAGAAGCTCCGATACACATGACAGAGACCAAAAATGCAGGAGGAAGGCAGGAGAGGGAAGAAAAAGCATCTGTCTTGCTTGAGAGTGAGTGGGGACAAAAGCTCATCTGCATGTTTGTCGTTCTCATCAGGGTCTCTACCTGACTGTAGTTAATCATTGTAACCAGCTTGAGTGGGCAACTTCTCAAATTTGAGGGCATATGGAACGTTAAAGAGGTTTTCTCTTTGCGGATGAATCCCGGTTTTCACTGTACAGGGCAGATGGCAGACTGCGTGTATAGCATCATATGGGTGAGTAGATTGATGATGTCAATGTTGTGAATTGAGTGAACCATGGTGGCAGTGAGGTTATGGTATGGGCAGGCCTGTGTTATAGACAACAAATACAGGGGCTGATGGTGGCCATCTTGGATTTTAACATGGCAACCCAATTTTGAAAAGGAACCTTTCTTATGCATAGATGATATCACACACACCAAGACGGAGGTTGATATCTCACTTATTTTTCAACGGTATCCTGCTCACAAGACAGACATTTATGGTGGCAGCCATCTTGGATTTAGATGTGGCAACCCAATTTTTGAAAGGAAACTGTCTTACATCTTTGTGTAGCCACACACCAAAATGGAAGTTTGTACCTTGCTTATTTTTCA